ATAGATTCCTGTATGTTGTACTGGCATTATCATTTACTTGTAGAAAGTGTCTAATTTCTTCTTTAATTTCCTCTGTGACCGATTGGTTGTTCAGAAGGGTGTTATTCAATTTCTATGTGTTTGTGGGAGTTTTGCAGTGTCTTATGTTATTGACCTCCAATTTTATTGCACTATGGTCTGATAATATACAGGGGGTAACTTCAATTATTTTTCATTTACTTAGACATGTCCTATGAGCTAACATGTAGTCTATTTTGGAGAATGACCCATGTGCAGCCGTAAAGCAAGTGTATTCTGCTTTTGTGGGGTGGAACACTGTGTAAACACCTATTAAGTCCACTTGTTCAATAGCTTGTTCTAGGATTTCATTGTTAATTTTTTGTCTAGTTGATCTGTCTATTTGTGATAGTGGGGTATTGAAGTCCCCCACTACAATTGTATTAGTGCTTATTTGATTTTTCATGTCCATTAATATTTGTTTTGTATAGTTGTGGGCATTCGTATTTGGTGCATTTATATTTAAGATTGTCATCTCTTCCTCTTAGATTGTTCCCGTCACAAGGATATAGTCTTTGTCTCTCTTAATTAGTTTTGATCTGAAATCTACTTTGTCTGCAAATACGTTTGCTACTTCTGGTTTTTTTCTGGGTTCCTGTCATGTGAAGAACTGTTTTCCACCCATTTACTTTCAGTCTATGAATTTCTTTTTGAGTTAGTTGTGTTTCTTGTATACAGCATATTGCTGGATTTTGCTTCTTAATTCATTCTGTCAGTCTGTTTCTTTTGATTGGTGAATTGAGGCCATTAACGTTTATAGTTATAATTGATAGATATTGACTCATCCTTTTCATGATGTTTTGATGTTGTTTGCTCTTTTATTTGTTATTTTTCCCCCTTTCCCTTTAGTTTCTTACCTTGCCTGGTGGCTTCCCTCTGTAAGGCCTCATGGAGTTGTGACCTTCATTGTCTTTTTCTATGATATTGCTTAAAATTATATGGAGTGCTGGTTTGGTGTTCATAAAATTTCTCAGGTGTTCTTGTCATGGAAGCATCTAATTTCCCCATCAATTTTGAAAGATAATTTTGCAGGATACAACAATCTAGGTTGGAAGTTATTTTCTTTTAGGGCTTGAAATACTTCACTCCAGGCTCTTCTTGAGTTGAGGGTTTGTGTTGAGAAGTCTGCTGTGATTCTGATGGGCTTTCCTTTATAGGTTGGTTTCTTTTGATTTGTTTCTTTTTTCTAACTGCCTGTAGGATTTTGTTCTTCTGTTGGGTTTCTGGAATCTTGACTATTATATGTCTAGGTGTAGATTTTTTTGATCATGGCTAGTTGGGAGTTCTATATGCCTCACTTATCTATATGTCCAATTCTTCTCCTCTGTCTGGGAAGTTTTCTCCTATTGCTTCCATGAACAGTTTTTTTTTTTATGTCAATTGCACTTTCTCCTGTTTTTCTGTGGACTCCTATCAATCTTATGTTATTCTTCTTTGCATCATCATCTGCTGGATTGATTTCTCATGGTCCCTTACTATTTTTAAGAAATCTCTGTTTTCATGGTCCTTAACTGCAATCCTGTCTTCTATATCTGATATTCTATCTTCAGATTCCCTTAATCTGCTCTGCATGCTTTCAATGGAATTTTTAATCTCCTGAATATCTGTTTGAATCTGTTTCATGGATTCCATTTCTTTCTTATGCTGGGCATTTATGGTTTCCAGCGTGTTTCAGAGCTCATCTATTTTTTTTATCTGTTTCTGTTCTAGAGCCTCTATTCATGTTTTTCACTCTGCTCACCATCTCTGCAGTTATCTGGGAAATTATTTCTGCTTTGAATTTTTCTAGAGCCTCATTCATCTGTTTTTTACTTCCTGTGCTATTAGTTCAGGTGTTCAGGTGGTTGATTATCAGATTTTCCACCTTGTTTCCCCCAGAATTTGCCTTTTGTGAGGTAGAAGTCTGAGTCTGTGCCTTACTTAAATGTCTTCTCATTTTTGTTTTTGGTACTCTTCTTGGTTTAGTTCCTGGGTTGATACTTTGACGTTGTTTATTGTAAGTATCTCTGTTGATGTATTTAGTACACTTGTGGAATGGTTGCTTCTCAGAAGTGTCTTCCAGATAGAGCTGGTTGGTAGGTTTTGAGCGTCTAATGGCTCTGAGGCTGTCTCATTTTCATTATACCATGAAGGACAACTGATGAGATCAATCACAACACCTTAGCCCAAGTGATACAATCAGCAACAGAGTGGCATCAAGTAACTCCTAGAAAATGAATATTTGTAGTAGTTATTAATCTATCACCTTTAACTGTGTGAATTAAATCAAAATCAAGGGCCAACCCAACATATGTTTATGCTGAATAAACTCTTCAATATAGCAACTCCACCCTTCCAGATAGGGAGTTAGAAGGAGTTGGGGAGGGAGGAATAGGTAGGTAGAAGTATAGGAGAAGGTTAGCAGTGAGGCCAGAGGACACATGTGAGAGAAGAAAAGAGAAGAAAAGACAAGTAAAGAAGAAATATGAATTAGGGCCAGAACAGGTACGCAAAGGGAGATGAGGAACAATGTGGGACAGCAAGGGGGGGGGGCGGAGAAAGGAAGAGAAAAGAAAGAAAAAAGAGAAAAATAAAAATTTTAAAAGAGTAGAAAAAGAAGAAAAAAATTAAAAATAAGAGCAAAAAAGAAAAAGTAGTGGTAATTTTGAAAATAACAAAAGCTAAAATTAAGGGCCTCTTTTAGTGTATGTCTCTGCTGTCACAATAGACAATGTGGGCAGAGGTGTGCAGTTATAAGTCAATGAGTCTCAATAAGCCAGTCACAGACCCTTGAGATTCAGGTAGATTTCTGGCTGCCAGTCCCAAGTTGAGCTCCCTGACCTCCTGCAGGGTTGAACTCTGCCAGGTTTTACTGCAGGTTCCAGCTGCCCTTCCCCTGAAGATAGTCCAGGTTGTGATGGGAGGTGATGATCCCTCCAACTTACCAAGTACAGTGGTCTGGTGTGCCTCTACTGCAGAGATTCTCTTCACTTTTCCAGTGGGCTTCAGTTTTCATCAAGGAGCCTGAGAGAGGCCCTCTCTCTGTTGTTCATTTCTGCAGCTCAGGACAATGGCCTTTATGCCCCTCTGTGCCTCTGTAGTGTGGAATCAAGTGGAAGTTCGGTCTCCTGCTTGCAAGTGGGCAGAGTGAGCTGGACTGAGCCGGGTGAACTCAGCCTGCACCTGTTCTGCCTGCGTGCACGGCCAAGCTGGAGGCTGGAAGGTGTCCCCAGGGGGTTCTCACTGGTTTGGTTAGGTCTCCAGTTCAGTCTCTTGGTTGCAAGTGGGCAGACTGAGCCAGACTGAGCAGGGGTACTCAGCCTGTGCCTGCTCTGCCTGCAGGCACAGCCAAGCTGGAGGCTGCTGCATTTGCCCCCACTCTCTGTTTTGGAAACTATCCCACGACATGTCTTCCAAACATGAAATCTGAAAAAGCACATTTCACTCTATTCCTAGCAGCAAAGGAAAATATATTGTTCACTGGTCATTATATACAGAGTTCATGATTGGGAAAATTCCCATTTTGACAAAGTATCAATTAAAATCCCTTCTACCATCAGGAGTGTGTGTTTGATCAGGTGAAGACCTTTGTTTAGATTGACCTCTGGCTCTGGCATCTGTATCGGTCAGTGTTTACCAGAGAAAGAGTTACAAACAAAATATACAAATATGTAAGAATTTATAAGATTGGCTTACAATGGCCAGCCAGAGTCAGGTGTAGAAGAGAGCAGAGGGTCTGTCCGCACACTGGAGATCCAAAGGATGCAGTCAAAAGCCTGGAGCTCACTGCATGTCCCGTAAGAGTCCATATTAGAAGGTAAATGGGTCTGCCGTGGAAGGCTGAAGGGTCTGCAACAGAAGCTGAAGAGTCTGCCCTTGAAGCCAGGAGATGACATCCAAGGTGAAGGCAAAGACTGGATCTCCTTCGAAGAGAGAAAAGCAGATCCATCCTTCTTCATTTCCCCTTAGTACCATCCAGGCAGGCAGCTGCCCTAGGGTGGTCTTCCACAGCCTAAGTTGTGGAATTGCTGAGCCAATTTAGTTGGGCTTCTCTTACTCAAGTTGACACAATCAATCAACCATCACATCATCCAAACTTTGTTTTTCCACCACCAGCCTTGTGCTTCTGCTGTTAAACATAGCAGATGTTCATGGTGTTTAACAAGGGTAGTCTTCTATCTTCTTGAGAAAATATTGAGTTGGGTAAGGGGGTGCTAGCATCCTGGAGGCTGTTCCAATGCTAGGATTGTTACCAGTACTTTAACTAAACATAAGATAGCTAGAAATCACCCACAAATATGCCACTGAGCCCAAGCTAAATGCATCCTCTGTTCAGCCTCCCCTCCATCAGTTCCCACAAGCAGCTGTGCCATTTCCAGTACAATCTTCTATTAATAGACACTAGGGAAAGACAGGAGAATGGAAAGTAGATTTGCTGGGGACTTCACTAGTTTTAGCATTGAAATACCCACATCCCAGAAATTCCCTCTGTCCTGAACAAATCAGGAAGGTTCATGATTCTTTGGGGAAAAGACAGTGGTCTTAGCTGTTGGTGGTTAAAATACTTTTGACAAATTTTCAAAATTGCACGACCCTGAGGACACAAGACTGAGGCCTTTCCTAGGGCATTAGAAGAAGCTTACGCAAGTGAGGGATTTAACTTTGAGGGGCTGAAGCTTAAACTTTAAGTAATTCTCCTGGGTTTTTATATTTCAGTCTTTAATCTCTCTTTAAGTCTTCATCTGAAGTTAATTTTCAGCTCAGATTCCATAGTTTCTTCCTAGTCTTGCTCACTCTAGCCGCTCTGCTCCTGAGATGTTTGTTAGGTTTCTGGGTCAGCTCTGTGTGGCTCAGGCGCCACCTTTGGAGTCTGCAGATGACCAGGGCTCCATGAGTGACAAGTGATGCCGAAGCCTCCCCCATCCCCCCTCATGTTGTAGGGCAAGAAAATTGCCCACTCCCAGTGAGGCTTCTGGGTCAACCTACCTCCTCCTGAAATTCCCAGCCTCTGGGAAGCCTCTCGTTCACGGTTGCCAGCAGTGCAGACACACTGAGGTCCCTTGCACACATTGCTTGTGGTTGCCAGGTCACAGCAGTCCACCTTCTTCCCAGGATCGGCTACCTTTTCATCCGTACTGCAGAAACCTATGAGGCTCGTTTGCAAGAACGCACACATTCCGTGAAAGAGGATTCTTCAGAGCAATTGTATCGGGCTGGGTTTGTTTTTCTGCGATAAATCAAACATAACATAACAAGTCGCATGTTGCACGTGTACTTTATGTGCCTTTCACTTTGATTATGTAGATGCAGTGTGTGTGTGTGCGCGTTAAATACATTTACCTACTGCTGTCGGATTGTTGTGCTGTCATGGCTGCCTCGATGTCCCGAATTGACTCAAAACATTTACCTTTCATAGCCATTTTGACTTTAGGAACGAGCCACAAGTTGCCTTGTGCTAGATCGAGAGGATAAAGTGAATAAGGTTATACCGTAGTGTTTCTATGAGCCTGCCTTTCTGTCAGGCGGTACTCAGAAGCCAGTATTTTTAATGTTACTTCCTAAAGAAACTCACGAAAAAGGAATTCCAGAACTGCTTCAGAAAGTGGCAAGAACAATGCGTAAATGTGCTCCAAGAGAGGGGGAGGATTTTGAGAGGTATTAATTGCAGTGTGTTTTTTACTGTAATTTAAAAAATTTAAACAGTCATGGTATATTTTGGTCACTCCTCATATGTACGGTTTGATGCAATCCATGACTTCAGACATCCACACAATGTTCTAGAATGAATCCTCTCTATATAAGGGGAAATTATCCTATTTCTTAAACAAGCAAACTCATAGAAAATGGTTATTTCGCGCTACTGCCTTTAACGCGTTTCTGCTCATTAAAGGTTACTTTCGATAACTTCGGTTGCCTGCAGATCCATTGTCTTTTCTGGCATCTGAAAGTACAGGGAGGAGGTTCCAACAGCTTGCCCTGGAGGTTTTGGCTGGAGTATTAGATTAGAGGCTTTACCAGAGCTGTTGAGGCCGGGATGGGGTGAGAGAGTACAATTCATACTTGCCACACTCAGGACATCATGAAACATATGCTCAGAAACCAGGGGACTCTCTTGCATGGAGCTGGACCCAGCAATGTGGCCAGAGTTGCCCCTACCCCACATTTTGATTGATGGATCTGCTCAGAAATCTTTATTTCAAATCAGGTTGTTCCAGGAGAGGAAAAGACATTGCATGACTGGTGAGGTGTTTTGAGTAAGCATGGAACAGGGGCAAGGGAGCCTCCACATCCAACTTTTAATGCTGTATCCAGGAGAGGCAAGTTGTTCGACCTTCTAAGGGGTCTTCTCTCTGTGTGTCTGTCTTTTCTCTTCTGCACAGTAGTGGTCACTTGTAGGGTTATTCGGAGGAATAATGTTCCAGCATATCCCACACGCCCTCTTGCTTCCCCTTCATAACAATCTTTTAATGTTGATACCATTCACCCAGTATCACCAATGAGCAGAGAGAGACACGGGGTGACTGAAGGTGAGCTGGAATTCAGTGACAGGTCCCTTCCAGCACTGCGGCCCTCTATTCTTCTCTCAACATCGTGTGCCTCTCCTACTGCAGGCACTGTGAGAAGGCACTGGGTAGTAAGAGGTCACCTGGGGTAGTTTCATTTTTATCACATGTGCCTGCATTTTAAACCTTATAAGGTTATAACAAGAAGAAATTATATATATATATATATATGGAAACACTACTCACCCATAAAAAAGGAAGTCTTGCTGTTTGTCACAACAGGAATACGCCTGGAGGATCTCATGCTGAGTGAAATAAGAGCCAGACACAGAATATCAAAGTTTGTATGATCTCATTCGTAGGTGGTATCTAAAAAAGTTGAACTCAAAGTACACAGAATAAAAAGGTCTTTGCTAGGGGCTGGAGTTAGCCAAATGGGGAAATGTTGATCAAAGATAAAACAAACTTTCAGTTATGAGTAAGTTCTGGTGACCTAATTTGTAACATTGTGACTACAGTTAATCTGTAATTTTTACTTGACATTGGCTTAGAGAAAGTGGATCTGATGTCCTGACCACATAGAGATTAAATGGTAACCATGTTTGGTGATGGATGTATTTATTAATTTCATTATGATAAATATATATAATATATAATATATATTATATGCATATAATATATATTATATATTATAATATATAATATATATTATATGCATATAATATATATATGGGCTACACTTTTATTTGTTAATTATTCCTCCAAAAAGTTAGAGAGGCAGAGAGAAAATCAGATCTAAAACAACAAATAAGCCATCTCTCAAGGAATTAGTTCATATATGCCGAGATATGGATGCATGTATATACACATATATGCATATACATGTTTATATGAGCTGTGTGACTGCAGAGCAGTTACTTCCTTTGTTTGGATCTCTAGTTTTACATATATAAATTTGTGACCTTATCTGAGCAGATTGTTTTGAGGCATAACTAAATTATCAGATGTTGCACCTAGTAAATGCAACTAGCTACATTCCTATGTGACTAGTGTAAACATTTATCCGATCTGCAGCAAGGTCTCCTGGATCAATAAATATGAATTTCAGTGGCATTTCTGCCTGGGATTGAGGAAGGAAGTGAGGAAGAACTTTTTCACAGAAAACACACAGGCACTGATGCCACACTGACTCAGATTCCAACCATGACCGTGTCAAATACTCGCAAGATTTGTAATCTCTCTGGAACACCAATACATAAAATAAATTTATCCTCTGCTGAAGAGACATAAAATGTAACAGTGCTCAAGAGTAGGGCAGATTGGCCTAGACAGGTAGAACCTGGGCAGGACATGCATCTGAAGGCTGTCTCTGGTCCCCTTCGGATTCTTGTCCAAACACAAGCCCCAGAAATACACTGATGCTACCAGGGAGGGAGGTGGCAGCTGTAAGGAACAGCTTTGATTTCTGTCTCATTCTATAGCTGCTTCTTTCTCCTTGGCACTTGCGTAAGAACTTGAACTATACTATTTCATATCATTTAAGAAAAAAGGGATGTTAGGGAGTTCAAGGGGCATCCACTTGGCAAACATGAAAACCCGCTTCCCGACATCTTTATGGGCTCCAGCTGGATCCCTGTGCTCCTAAGAGCTGCCCCCTGCTGAGCTAACAGAGGCTTCAAGTCTGAGCTGCTGATATCCTGTGGCAGCAATTAGAGAAACTGCCCTTCAACATAGGCTTCATTTTATCCTGTGATTGCTAGGGAGAGCTACACACAGCGTCCGGCAGGCAGCGATAGCATTACCTGTTATCGTTGTCATTTTCTATTTCATTTATGTTCCCTTGCCTTAAATACCAGAAAAGCAGTCTTACTTAAAAGGCTGAGACCTGCACTTCCAGGTTTATCAGAATAAGGCAGATACCAGGCTGAGTAGTTTTAAGGGCACAGGGAAAACAATACAGTTTGGTGACAGGAGGTTTTGAATTATAGTGGCCAAAGATAGCTCAGTTCTGCTTAAGACTTCAAAGATCCAAATAGGTGCATTTAAAATAAATGGTCCCAGAGACTTTCTCTGAACTCCTGTGCCTTTGTTATCAACATAAAGCAAGAGACTCAGCAGCAGCCATCATAAATTCCATGGATTAAACTGCACAGGATCACATTTGGGATTCAGCAGCAGTGCTGCTGTCCAGTGCTACTCAGACAGTAGCAGGAGAAGCTATCTATTTTTTGAGACTTTAATTTGGAAATGATAATAGCTATCATTTATTGAGTCCTTTCATGCGCTAGGTAGAATGTACTCAAGGAACATACATATAATTTAACTTGGCTCTCACCAAATATTCTAAGCTATCTTCCAGATAAAGAAATCAAGACTCAGAGAGATAATTAACTTGCTAATACTCACATAGCTAGAAAGGAATGGAGAGCCAGACTTTCAGAAAGAAAGGATGTTAGAGAGTTGATTTTTCACATTTAAAAGAATCAGATCTTTCCCAGTAAGCCACGTCTAAGGAAGCAGAATACATATGGCCATGTGTAAGATGAATTGAATTGTAATATATTGTTTCTATATCACAAAGAATAAAAGCAAAACTCTGCCCATTAAACTGACAATCTATCCAAGACATTCTGATTTCAGCTATTGAAATGGGGAGGGGAAGTGTTAAGATACATTTAAAAATGGTAGTTTAAAAACTAGGGTTCAGTGTACACGCAACGAAGAAGTAACATGAAAGCCCAGTTCGAGAGCCGATGGAGAATGAACAAGACAAACTTGCAGTTACAACTTGGTGTTTCCAAAGCTAAAGATGAAACGCCGCACGTTCGAGCATCTGTGCTCCCGCCTTCTACCTGCAGGTGGCAGTGCAGGCCACCGGATGTGGCCTTTGGCCTCCCGGAGAGTTCCAAGCGGTAGGCCGGGCGGGAAACTTGTTCTCATAGCTTAATTTTTGTATTTTCCACATCTGATCTTGTTCAAATCATAATGTCACTTCTGTGCTGTTTTCCTCAACCCTTTCTCTCCTTTCGGATGTCTTCTTTCTCTCCGTTAACTATTTCTTTCCCCGTACCGCCTAAGTCTAGCAGGGAGAGACATGAAATGGGAAATAGGTGGGTATGGTTTTTCCTCGTACCCTGATTCATTGGGGAGCAGCCTGAGGAAGGAAGGTGGGGTCTTACTTATTAGTGACACTGTTATAATATCAGTTACTAATGTGGCAGCCTTCCTCCTTCTGCCTTATTTATAGCTGTTTTTCTAGCACACAGCAGGTATTCAATTGGTATTTATTGAATACATAATTGAAAGCTTCTTTTCTAAAATATGCCAGAACTGATATCACCCTAGGGAGCTTATTTTTAAACTTCTAGATATTAGGATTACCTGGAAAGCTTTTACAACCCCCGAAGGAACAAATCTGTTATTCGCAACAACATGCATGAAATTGAGGACGTCATGCTATGGAAGATAAGCACGCGGCAAGACCGATGCCATGTGCGCTCGCTTTTACATAGAATCTAAAACACCAGGTGGTAGGAAATAGGCAAACTTCGTGGACATAGAAGGGCATCTGGGGTTGCGGGGAGAAGGGAAGGCAAGAAGGAAAAGGGGAAGTAAAATGATTAAGACAGGAGATGTATAAGTATGAATTTTGCAACATAAATATAATTATTATGTCTCACAAACATAAACCTGGAGATATTATAAGGGAGAGCTGAGTCAGTTGTCCTATGGACAACTTATTTTAAAATTTTTCAGATATCAAAATTCTAGCTGTATGATTTGTTTTGAATTTTGTTTTTTTTATTTTCAAGGGGGCAAGTGGATGGGGTTTTGTCAGCATTCTGCCAGGAAAATTCACTGTTTCACTGAAGTGTTTGGATTCTCTTAGCTACTGCATGCAAAGTCCGATTATATTGGTGCATTTTTACAGTTAGGGTTTTGCAATAACTTCTATATTTTAATAGAAACGAATTCCTAAACTCCCTCCCCTCTCCCCCATTTCAGGAATTTAAAATTAAGTAGAACGAAAACCCAGCACACCTGTTAGAGTCGTCACTCTGTCATGGGAATCAGTTTTCATTAGACTTGAAGCAGTCCTGACATGGGCAGTGTTTTTGTTCGGACACCTGATCACCTAAAAGCATGATGGGGAAATACTTCCTGACTTGAGTGTTCCTTTTTGAATGTGAATTTTTATTTCTTTTAAATTATTTTAAAATATTTAAACCTTTTTCTTGATCTTAAAGATTGTGTAAATTGGGGTTGGGGAGAGATGAAGGGTGAGTGAGTCTCTAAGGATAATGAAATAATCAATGACTAAAACCATTTTCCCATCATTCTTTGTTCAGAGCATTCTCTGTATCCTTTAAGAATCCATCTTTTTCTTTTTCAAACCCTGATCTTTCACTTGAAAGATTTTATTGTATGAAAAATTCCACAGGTCAATAAATTTAGAGGAAAATGAGTATTTGGCCCAACAGAGGAAAAATAAGCAAGATTTTAGGGCTTTAATTTTTCTTTTGTAATTGTGTAAAAAATGAGAAAAAGCATAAAAAGCAGAATTTTAATGTGAAAACATTTTTTGCTATAATCATTAGTTTTAGAGGCATTGTTAGTTTAGTGTGTGTGCAGAGTCCATTTCTCACATCTTTCCTCAAGTATCTTCTATTTTTATCATGAATTCCCTTTTAATCAACTGTAGGTTATTTAAAATAAATTCCTACAACTTATTGGAAAAAAAATATACTAATTATGCACAGGTACACATTCCCCAAGATGAATATAATTATGATGTATCACAAACATATACTAATTAAAAAACAGGAAAATATTTTAAAAATTCACACAACAAAGCAATTGAACTAAGAGAAGAGAATGGTGGTTACCAAAGGCAAGGCTGGGGGAAAATGGGGAGATAATAGGCAGATGATACAAAGCCTAGTTACACAGAAGGAGTAGACCTTATTTTTTTAATCAATTGCACAGTATGGTAAATATAGCTAATATTTGAGTATTGCGCATTTTAATATCACTAGGACATGTAATTTCAAATGTTCTCATCACAAAAATTGTTAAATGTCTAGGGGAATGGATATACTGCTTTCTTTGATTTAATAATTCCACATAACATTGAGAAATCATAACAGCACTTTTTACTGCATAAATATATACACCTCTCATTTGACAATATCTCACACTAACCCTAAAAAGGAAAGGAAAAATTCCTAATAATCAACCTGCAACTCCAGCCAATAAAATCTAACCTTTCTGAGTGGAACCCAGAAATCAGTTGTTTTCAAGGTGCAATCAAAGCTGAGAATTACTGTTATGGCTGTGGGTCTCAGATTGTGGGTACAGGGCCAGTGCTATGGTGTCAAATTATTGTCAATTTATTGCAAATTCAAATCCTTACAACCGATAGAGTTGCTAATCCACTAGAGTAACAGAGTGACAGTAATCCTTGTTTTAAGAAACCCTTCTGGTGATGCGTGAAAGTTTAAGAACGACCACCTTAAAGGCTTACTTTAAATAAAGCTGCATTGCTGTGTGTGACTTTGTCTTTCCATCCCCTTTTGACTGATTTGCTTCTGGACCCTATTTTTTCCACATGGCCATGCTTACAAACAGGTCCACTTTAGTTGAATATTTCTTTTCCTTCTAATTGCCTTTGGATTTGTGATCAACATCAATTTATAATAAAGTAATTTGAGAAGATATTTCACATATGTATTTTCATTCATTCATAAAACAATGAAAGAAGAGTTATGATCATGATTCCTTCTCAAATTGTGAAATAAAAATTGACAAAAACTAATATACACTGAACTTTTGCGAGGTTCCAGACATTATGCTAGGTACCTAATTATCTCACAACTTTAAGAGATTATGACTTTCATTCTACAGATGAGAAAGGAGAGGCTGGGGAAAGACACAAGGTGAGCAGGAAGCACAGGGGTTTAAACTCAGTCTGTCCTAAAACCATGTTGTGTTCTGGGTTTCCATGGTACCGCATTATTTATTTTGCTCATATTCACATAATAGAGTGAAGAAAATCTGTTAGTTTGTAGCTACTTCCTGAACAAATCTCACTTTGCACACATTAAACTCGAGCTGTTTCCTGGTCCTTAGGAGTGATATATAATTAAAGAGCTTTCTTCCTCCTTCCACCAAGACTTTAAAATGGGGTAATGCATATGGGCTTAGGGAGATAGTTTTCTTCTACGATACTTATTTTCTTTTAAACTCACATCTTCTTCTAAATCTTGATCTGAACCCTTGGAGTCCTGTATGGTTTCGAGGAGCGGATCCCAAGGGACGCATAATAAAGGCCTGGTCTCCTGGGTAGCACTAATAGGAGATGTGGGAGCCTTTAGAAACAGGACCTCCTGGGTGTGTGCCTCAGGAGAAGGCTGCAAGGCTGTGGCCCTTTCCTGTATTTGTTTGTTTCCCGAATCATGAAGTAAGTGGTTTTGCTCTGCCACAGACTCCCACAATACTCTGCTGCCTCACCACAGGCCCAAAGTAATGAAGCCACTTGACCTTGGACTTCTAAAAACATGAGACTAAATAAATATTTTATCTTTATAAGTTAATTGCCTCTGGAACATAATTATAGTCCCAGAAAACTAATACAAAGCCATTATTCACAAGTTCCTTACTGAGCTCATGAATATGTTTGTGGTTGTACCAGGTACCATATTAGGCTCTGGGAGGCCCAGCAGTCAAAGAAGAGAGACAAGACCCTGCCCTCCTTTTCATATATATATACACATATACACACATATACATAGTGTGGTCAAAAATACAGTAAATGTTTACACTTTCAAAAACGCAGTAAAAATACATTGCTATTAATCCTCCTCATGTACTCACCCTTCTTGGCACACATTTATCCCATCATTGCTGACCCTTTCTGAAGAAGTTCTAGAAGTCTCTTTCATGAGTGTCTTTAGTTGTGTTAGGCTGTCATGGCTGACTCCATGCCCTGAATTGATTCAAAACATTTGCCTTTCATGGTCATTTGACTTTAGAAAAGAGCCAGAGGCCACAAGGTGCTGGAGTCAGTGAATAAGTGGATGAAGACTCACTGTAATGTGAGGGCACTTGCAACAGCACTTAGCATATTTTTTGTTACACCTCATGAACAAACTAAAGAAAGAGGACTTCCAGAATTGCTTCAGAAAGTGGTAAGAATGATGAAATAATTGTGTTTGAAGCAAGGGGGAGGACTTTGAGGGGGATTAATGGTAATGTGTCTTTTACTGTAATAATTTTTAATTTAAATTTGGTTCATATATTTTGATGACTCCTTATATACGCAATATACACGCACATATATAAGAATAATCATACATACAGTATACAATAAATAAATAAAGGAAGAACCTAAGATTAGATGTGATTATCCAGAACAATGCAAGAAGGCAGAAGGTGGTCAGGGAAGATCTCTCTGAGCTAAATTCTATGCATGTGTGCATGCACACACGCGTGCATGTGTGTGTGTATCTCTGTGTGTTTGTGTGTAGTTTCTGTTAAAAATATTCTTTAGGGGAAAAATCTTTGTTCCTATTGATCTTTATTGAGAGTTAGTTCTTAGTTATGTGGGAGAACGGGTATGTATGCTACTGCTTAGGGAAATAGATTAAGTGATTACAGATTTGGAAGAATTGGCCTAGTAGAAGAAGTAAACCTAAGATTCAGTTTCCAAAACAGTATATCTCAATCAGAAAAGTTTTGACTTTGGATAATGGCTGGCAAACACACCTTGGGAAATGACCACAGAAATGTCTAGGAGACTTTCATCCACGTTGCTGAATAAAAGCCAATGTCAGTGAGGGGGATGCATGCAGAGGTGTGACAGGGCTGAGAAGCCCAGTCCCTGCAAGCCGTCGGACACTGCTGGGTCCCATCCTTCTCAGTGATGCTCATTCCCAGGAGTCGGTGGTATCTGAGAGGAAGCAGAATAACACACTGGAGAGCAATTTCCTGCTTCTGGCCTGTGAGCTAAGTTATTCAAATGCACACTCCAAAGGCAAACAGGTGAGAAGGCTGGAGGAAGTACCGTTTATATCTTTTAAACGTGAAGGTTTATCAAGGCAGTGAATACATAGTAGTCCAATATTAAAGATAAATTGCATGTCCAGATAAAAGTGGAAGAAACTTTGGCCTATGGATATATATTAGCCTAGGAAAAATCCAAACTTTCCTTTTGGCAGCCTGATGGGGCCCAAGGGACAGAAAAGAAAATGTTAGCAGCTTTCTTTCTAGGGTGATGGGAATGTTCCAGATTGTGATGAGAGTTGTATAATTGTTAGTGTATGGTAAAATTCACTGCATTATATATTTCAAAAGGGAGAATTTGATGGCATGTAAGCTGTATGTCAATACAGCTGTTTTTTAAAGGAATGGCTAAATTAAACAACACATCAGACACAATAAGTTTTATAGAAATATTAATATATAAAATAAGATTTATAAACAAAGTTAAAAGTAAGAAAAATACTAAGCAGTAAGAAAAGACATAAAGCACTGTGATATAATGAATTCCACTAATGTATATAATTGATATGGGGTAATAATTATAACAATAAAAATGAGGGCTATGCAGAGGTTATATTTTAGAATACCTTTCATCACTCAAACTAGAAGAAACAAAATGAATTAGCTAGAAAAAAGAGATTAGCTAGAAAAAATGCTTCAAAACACTTTCTTTCAATTCTATCAGTAGTATCAGCTTTGGAGGGCCTCGGTTGATTTTCTTTTGTATTAAGATAAACATGATGTTTTCTTGTTTCATTATATCTTGGGTAACTTTTTGTACTATATTACACACATCATAAATGCCAAATCATGGAGAATTAATTATTTTATGTTTCCCTAGAAGAAATAATATCAGTGATAAAATAGAAAGATTAGAATATAAAAAGTTCACAACAATAAAACAGATCTCTCTGATAGCCAATTTCCCATATTAACTCACTGTCTCGAGGGCTGGCGAGGTGGCTGGAGGAGCACGGTTTGTGGATGGAGTTTCTGTGACGGTGTTCTGTTGAGGAGGTCGGCATGTGAGTCGGTGGACTGAGTGGGAAAGATCTGCCCTTGCTGCAGGTAGACACCGTGCAATAGGCAGGAGGCCTGCGTAGAACAATGAGTTGAAAACACAGCAAATTCTTTCTCTTCTGGAGCACGATGCCTTTCTCCGCCTCCCCTTGGACATCCTAGTTCCAGGATCTTTAGCCTTGAATTCTTCCTCAGCCTCAAACTGAGAGCCACACTATTAGCTTCTCAGATTCTTGGAACTTCCCAATTGCACTGAGCTTTGCTGCCAACAGCTCTGGTTTTCCAGGGGCTTTCTCAGCCTGCATAACCATGTGAGCAAATTTCTCTCACGGATGTCTGTATCTATCCATCTAGCTACCTATCTTTCTTATTGCTTTTATCTCTCTGAATTACCCTGAATAATATAAGCACGATGTATAAATATCTAACATATCCTTAACCTGAGTCCCAGGTATAAAAGAAAGTCAGGAGGAGCAGAAACAATATGTGAAGAGAGACTGAGAATTTTTTGGAACTCATAAAAACCTTCATAGATGAAAGAAGGCCAGTGAATACCAGGATAAATAAAAAGAAAAATAAAAAGGAGATTAACATCCAGACCCATTATATTATATTGAAGAAAAGCAAGGATGAAAAGAAAAATCTTAACAGCAGCTAGTCCTGTGGCAGGGGAAGAGGAAATTGGAGAATTATTTTTTCAATTGATACAGGGTTTCTGATTTGCATAATTAAAATTTGTAGAGATCGGTCACACAACCATGGAAATACATTTAACATTACAAGCTGTGTAATTAAAGATGGCTATGATGGTGAGTTTTAGGCTGTGTGTTTTTCAGTTAGCGTCTTCAGGAAGAGAAGAGCAGTCAGCTCGGCCTAGCTGCACTTGGCTGACATTACATTTGGAACAGGGCACATAGAGGCCTTACCCAGCTTAATGAATTAGGAAAAAGAGACCAGATGGGAGGTAATCAGGAAGGAGGAAGAAGTGAGAAAGAAAAGAAGAAGGGACCAAGGAGGCAGACTGAGGGCCACCAAAGCACTCCACAGCAAAGGCAGAAGAAAGTCTGACAGACAGGTGTTCGTTAGAGATGCCTCCTGAAAACCAGTATGACAAGAAGGATGTGCAAAGTGGGGAAATTCCAGAAAAGTCATGAAAAGAAGGTTTTTCAGCCCCAGAAGGAAGAATTAACCTTAGAAAAGTAGGAGGGGAGCATGAGAGAATGAGGATGGAAGGAGTTTTGTAAATCAGAACTTCACGTCACAAGCCACAGAAACAACCGGGCTAAGGCAAGCAGACTGGAGCCTACTGTATCTGGAAGGGCTTGGGGGGTCATTCTCAGCAGTCATAGGAAGACCAGATAACTAAGGCTGACCCAGGGGAGACTGCTTTCAAAGCAGGCAAGTTCCAAGTGTAGAATGAAGGTAGGTTAAGCCACCTGCTTTGGCAATGCTGCTATTGTACTCAAATTGAAAATACAGGTGTCCTCTGGCCATTGCTTCTGTCAACTCAAAGCTTTGCATCCCTCAACTCTTTCCCCAAAATTCAAATTCTTGGCTGTGAGGATGAGACTGCCTGACCTCCATCCCCTCGCAAATCCTCCAGTGCTGAGACTTGCAGGCGAACCTGACTTCTGCTTTGGGAGGCATCCTAGACATACTCAGCATCCTGCCAGGACACAGAGCAAAAACGCCCTTGAGAAATGAAGCTCATAAGGTCATGAGAAGTCACAATAAAAGATATATGGCTTGCCCTCCATTTATATATCTGCACTTTAAAAACCAAAACAAAACACACAATGCAAAGGTTTCTATAGAACGTAAACCTGCTCAGTCTTGTATAACTGAAAATACACTCTTGACCAAAGGAAGCCAATAAACTTTAAATTTTTTCAAGCTCCACCCTCAAGACCTCTGACTGATATCTATTCCTCTTTGTTGCAAGCCTATTCTGATGTGTCACAAACCACAGAATTATTACAAAGTCAGACAACAACAAAATATATGTATACTTCATGGAAAGAAGCAAAAATGAGGAAGCTGACTGAGACATTTACTTGTAATGAGGAAGGAAATTCTGTTAACAGGTTATCGCCTCTCGCAGTCCCAGGGCCAGGAGATGTTGATGGCTAACTGCATGGCTGATTCCACGTCTACTTTACCTTCTGCCAGTACTTTGGCAATTGGGGTGCTCAACCAGTGGAGTGCCCTGAAATGTCATACATGAGCATTTCTGCCCTTGGTGGTCCAGTATGTATAGGAGTGCAACTGTCTTTCAACTTTCTTTTACTAACTTTTACTGTTTAAAAAATATTTCACTTACATATGAACAAGAATGGGGATGAGATCACTGATGATAAATAGACCTACTGTCAATTAGAAAACGATGCCCTTCACCAAACTGCAAGAGTTTGATCCTTTTCAGCCAGCTTATTCCTAATCAATGCATGGGATCATATGATATAAAAATTAAATAGAAGTTAGCTGTATCCCAACCAAGTAATTCAAGACTCTACCCAAATCCTATGTGACTGGCCCCAACTGTTTTATTATCAATATAAGTCTTTGTAAACAAAAGTATGCTTAAGAAAAAACAAAAAGTCTCAAATTTAAACTTTAATTTGTCTATGTAAATAATGAGTAATATTTCCTTCTCTCTGATTAAAGCATTTCCCATTCAAACTAGAGCAAGAAATATTTCCCTTTTAAATTCTTATTCTGTATGGAACTTATAAGCGGAATTATGCCCCCATTTGTACTCTGAAGCCCTAACAATGCTTTCCTTCAGAATGTGGCTGTGCTTGGATAGAGATCCTCCAAATTGGTGACTAATTTAAAATGATCCACTATAGGAAGGCTCTACTTTAATCCAGCAGGTGTCTTCACACACAGAGGAAATCTGGATGAGCAGAGACAACATGGTAAGGGCGCGTGCACACACACACACACACACACATACACACACATACTTACACGATCATGGAAAGATTCAGCCAGAAGATGGCATCTACATGCAAGGAGAGAGGCTCTGGGAGAAACCACATATGCTGACACCTTGATCTTGGATTTTCAGCTTCTGTATTGTGTGATAAAATAAATGTCTGTGCTTAAGCCATTTAATAGTATTTTGCTATGGAAGTTCCATCATCCTAACACAATCATGTATTCAAGAATCTAACAAAATTATTATTAAAGCCAGGGATTTAGCTCAGTGGTTCTGGCGCCTGCCTCACAAGTGCAAGTTCCTGAGTTCGATTCCTGGTACCAAAAACCAAACAAACAAAAAACCCCCAAAATTATTAGTAAAGAAAAAAATGTGACTTACCATCTGCTTTCATTTATGTTTTAAATATTTTCACACATCGGAATTGTGTGAATTAAATAATTCCTGGTAGAAAAGCATCACTTGAAAATCCTAATTGCAAATCAGTTGTAAATATTTCTACCTCACTGGATCATAGGAAAAGGATTGTCTTCAAAGTCCCCCAGTGGGCTTGATTAAAAGGCCAGGTGATTGCTGCTTGTATGATTAGGACTGCCATCAAGTCATCTAGAATATTTTTTCTCTCAGGGAAGGCTTTGTCTGTTTAAAAGTTATTAGGTGATGAACTTGACAGGTGCCTCAGGTGAACTGTCCTCAAATCGGACTCTAATACAAGGTGATTTATGAATGAAGGGATTCTAAGGGGGAACTATGTTTGAATGTGGAAACAGGCCAAGTTTTACAGAGAGTTGCCCTAGTTTTCCCATGGTGGAGCTCTGGAAGTTCGGTGCACATAATGCTGTTTGACCCAAGGCAAGGAACACAGGAATTTCAAAGTTCTGCATCCACCAGCTATTGGCGTAGGGGAGAAGCCCAATAGCACATCCAAAGTTCTTTTCTACAAACCAGAATGACTTCTTTCCAGAGTATGGAATTTCACTTAAAAACCTAGTGGCCTGATAGTCCCCTATTGTGTTTGCCATAGTCTGATACAGTATCTTGATTGACCTCCACATTTGTGTGTCATTCATTAGATGAACAGCAATTTCAGCTACCTGGGGAGGTTTCCTTTGTTCGAGTTGAGAAGTTGGATTCATTTCTTTGGGGCCACCATAACACATTACCACAAATTTGGTGGCTTAAAATAACGATCAAAAAATTATTCTTGCACAGCTGTGGAAGCCAGATCTCTAAAATCAAGGTGTCAGAAGAGTTGAGTCCTATTGAAAGCTCTGAGGGGGGAATTCATTCCATGCTCTCCTCATAGTTGCTGGGACCTGCTCACAATCGGTGATGCTCACATCTAGATGTCCTTAGGAGCCTTCGAAGCTCGTAGGTTGGGCTTTGGGGAGAGGATCAGAGCATGAGGACTCTAGAGTTGCCTTGCTGTTAGGAAGTATGGCCCGGCTGGGGCATGCAGGTCACTGAGGCCTTGATGTGGAAGGGCGCATCACCCTCCCTAGCTCTGTTCCTCTCTTGCTCCTCCCTGACCACAGTGATGCAAGTAGCTTTCCTTCCCTGTCCCTCTCTGCCACAACTTGAAGCCAGTGACCATGGACTATTACTGAGCCAAAATAAACCTTTTCTCCTTTAAGTTGTGAGTGTCAGGTGTTGTGTCCCAGAGGTGAGAAAGTAACTGCAAATACACTCCTTGGGATTCACTGGCTCATGGATGCATCATTCCAATACTTCTGCTTCTTCACAATGCCTTCCATTGTTGTCTGTGTATAACTTCCCCTTTTGTCATGAGGATGCTTGTCACTGAATTCAGGGCTCATCCAAAATCCAGAAAGATCTCATCTCAAAATTCTCAACTCCATTATATCTTAATTTTTTTTTCCAAATTAGATCACATTCACAGGTACTAGGATTTAGGACCATAAACATCTATTTTGACTCACAACAGAAATATAACTGATTACTCAGTTTTTAGCTTTAAATATCCATTTGAATATAGTTTATATTCTTAACAGTACATAGTGCAAAGGGGAGGAACTTGTCCCTTAGTTTGAGTGAAATTTACCAATATGTCCTTGACCATGAGTGGACAGGTTGTATATTGTCAAAGAGTTTGTCTTCTATTCCATGGCATATGTGAGTTTGTTTTTTTAAGGCCGGAAGCCTTCTTTCTTTTCAGATTCTTACAGTTAACATCACCAATGTACTTGACCTGAATAACATTTTGGGGGGAAGTAAGACTGTGGACTAAGTTTTGGCATGGAGCCAAGAGTTAAAATAATTCTGAGGTTAGCTGGTTATGACATACTGCTAGGTACACAGGTAGGTAAAATACACTGTATTTCAGTGATTCCATAGGAAGACTTATATGTATTTCCTCCTTGAAAATGACC